GAGGCCGCCGATAATACCTCGACTACCGCTCGTCGTGAACTGGCCTCTCTCCTCGACGACGAGAGTGATCTATCCATGGAGCCCCGAAGTTCGTCTGAAGAGCTTGTATACACAGACGATATGGCTGAAGCTAGCTCCGACGAAAACAAGTCCGACGAGTCCATGTTGACCGAGGGTAACGACGACGAGACGCTGACCAAGTCTGTTGTCCCGCTCACCTCTACAAGTCCGATTGCGCGCTTGGACTCGAACGACTCGTACTCCTCGTCAAGTCCGACGCCTGGAACGTTATCGCTACTGACCTCTGACGTGCAGTCTGCGACCGAAACAATTCATCACTTGGCTCAAGTGTCCACCCATGCCCATGGGGTACCTGTCTTGATGGAATCTACGCATGTGGTGACGACTCGCACCGTCCAGCTTAACGCTGAAGTCCAGCTGACTGTGGCGAGACGATCTTCTCCCGAAAACTACGAAACCAGTTTAGTACTGGACCAGACGAGATCGCGCTTTGACTCTTCGTCTCCGACTCGTCTGGCCCTGCCTGCTTCCGACATCGTTCACGAAACTGCCGTCTACAATCCTGCCTTACCATTTGGATTGTCCCCTGTCGCTCACGTGGATCCGAGATCTCGAACTCCCCCCCAACTGATGGACCACGTCGTGTCTGCCCGTCCAGACGAATCCATGGGTGTGGAGGCCATCACGGACCATGTCGAGCCCAGTCCGCTACTCGACATGGTGCCCATTCATCAACCTATCGTGGAACGTCATCAGCACTTGACGGTATTTGAACCGGACCTACCGTTTGGTCTGGCTCCTGTCGTTCGCCATGATGAACCTATGGAGATCAACGCGACTGATGAAATGCCGTCGTTGACGATACCGCCAATCTTGACGCTCGACGGACCACCTCCCATCCGATCCATTCTCGACGACTTTGGTGAAATGTAAACGGATGACAACTCGATCATGCAAGCTACTATCGAGTCGAATTTGGTCGCAAGATCTCCGTCCAGTGCGGATCTTGCAAATCTAGTACTGCGAACCTCACTCCAAAGTTTTTCAGGCCACGTTTCAGCCCAAGTCCAAACCTTGCGAGACTCGTCTCTCGAATACCCTGCTGCTCCACCATTTTTGTGACGGTCGTAGGGGTTAGACGCACAAAAGTTACGAAGATCCGGAGGTTCGGACTTCAGGACCGGATACTCTCGGCTTGGCCAAGAAGAACACAGCAAGAAAAGGAGTAGATCCAATGTTAGGAAAATGTAAAAGTGAACTATCTAAAAGCTAGCTAAAGCTGACGACCTTTGGGGAAAGGTCCTGTAGAATAAAAGGCAGGACGGTCAAATTCGAAGGTAGTCGGCCCGTCGAATAATATACCTTTGCGATGGTAATACCACGATGTGGTATAGTAGTACAAGTCCATGCTCCAGCTCCGTCACACGACGAGGGGCAGTAACAGTGATAATGAGTGCATTTACATCAACCGCGACCCGTCGCATTCCATCATAGACCGAATAGTTAACATTTACTTCGAAAGTATAGCTCAAGGGAGTAAGTAATACGAGCCTTCGATGACTAGAAAGTCGCGTGCTTTCGCATTACATGCTGCTACGTGGAGCATCGGCAAACATAGAGAAAACAAGGTCGCACGTGGCAACTTGTTGGAAGTAAATCAGACCGGTACAAGGCCACTGGTACGTTTGGAGGAAGTAAGTGGTCACGTAAGAAACAATGGAACTGCTGCTCTCAGGGAATTATTCTTCCAAGCACGACAAATCGTCATGCTTGGTCGTGATTGGGGCATTTGTGCATTCCAAGTAAAAAGTAGGTTTAAGGGGTTTCGGTGTTTCGTTCGTAAATTGTATGCGCGGTACAATGTACGAACGTGGACTGTGACGTTGATCATAGGGACGAACATTGCGACCACCTCTAGACCTATAGGTTAACATGGACCGCCAATATAGCGTAGCGGTGCGCAGGTAGTTTTTGTCCTTGTACCCAAAATTTGGACTTTTGTGCTGATCCGTGAAATCCATCGATCGATTCTTTGTACTGAAGTTTGTATGTCAAAAGTTGTCTTGTACTGTACAGTAGTAATTGGAATCACACTATTTTCTGGCACACACTAATTCGATGTTGGTGATGGCTTCCTGCAATCTGATTGGCTAAATGCTTCTGCCGATTCTTCGGTACATTTGGTTGTGTCGATTCATTCTCCATGTCGCTCCAGTTTAGAATAAACACAATAATACTACGAGCCGCAGATGGAATATCTAAGATTAAGATTATTTTCGAGCAAACGATGGATTATGTCCAAGCGAGGCCGCAGAATGAGCAAAGTTGGGCTACTGACTTCTGAGTGTGCGTGATAGAAACATAAACAAGCGTTTTCCTTGTGAATACTACGTAAATTCCAAGTGAAATTTGACATATGATAATGAAAATACGATTAAATAATCAGAAGAATGCTTAACCTTTCGGCTTCGCGCAGCAGTTTTCGGAATTGACTCTGAGACCGCAAAAGGGCTGATTCTCATCTTCTCGCAATATACCGGACCCCTTTGTACTGTAGATAGGAGAGTTTTGAAAACGCATAATAAAAATAGAAATTGTCTGAAAATTATGCCAGGCTTAACTACGTCGACAATAAGTAGCAACGACAACTACATATCTTGCTCCAACCGACAATTAACACTGGCGGAAAAGCAACGGGCTCACCTAGTAAGGTGCATTAAAGAAAAAAGTCTCCAACCTACAGATGTATAAATAGAGTGATTTTGCACCAAGAATCCACACGAATTTTCCAATACAATTTCCCTGAAAATCCTTCGGGGAATATCATGTTGGGAAGGTGCTTTTGCTATAGGAAAAATTCAAATTTACATGTTAAGAAGAACTGCCGCTGTGTGCGTTGTTGCGGCTCTTCTGGAGCACCTACCGGTAGGGCACGGCTCCCAATCTTTAGGCATATCAACAACCCAGTGCAGTAGGTGCAATGTGTACAGTTTGTGACCTTGCACCATCCCTATATGCTGTAGTGTGCATCGCGCCGAAGTTCAAACATGACCGAATTAAGGTGGTCGGTGAACACTGGGGGGTAGGATGTATCTGTTGGCTGGTTTACGTTCGGCTCTATACCACTGCTCGCCTACGATATCCTTGCTCATCTACTAGTGCATCCTACCTACCGCTCATCTACGTTTGGTGCCGACCATGCCATTCATCCATGAAGCGAAATTGGTCATTTAGCATGTTCAAGTGTTTTGATTGGCTACTGTGTGTGAAAAGGTATTCCCAGTCAGAAATTCTGACAGAATATGTTCATCAAGAAATTCCCAATACAATCAGATCAAAAGGCTTCATCGTGAAACTTTTCAGGAAATATCACGTAGCAAAATCACTATAATGCTCGATAAAATAATTTCCGTACCAATGAATGTTGGTGTACCACACTCCTTCCCACTTTGCTATTGACAAACTCCGGGGACAAAGCACCACACGTGGTCACTTCGGGATAGGACGAAGTCCCGGGGAGAGGGCCAGGCCCTTGAAAAGGTACGTTTGGTCGACTATTTCACTTGTTCTAATTGAGGAATTAAGATTCCTCATCAGTCTCCACTCCACATATCAGTTGTACGAGATAAGGTAATTCGAAAACCACATCCACATATCAGATGTACTAGATAAGGTAATTCTAAACTACTTTGACCACGTACCACGCACGTTCTTTCAAGCGCACCACGTACCACGTTCTTTCAAGTGCACCATAATTTGCCATTTACGTTAGCTGTAGGTAGTCCTAACGTTACGTATGCAACAATTTTAGTGAATTACTCCGAGTACACATAACACTGGCTGGAAAAAATGAATTTTGAAGTATGACGGACACGATTCTGAATGGCTCCGTTCACCTTGAAAAATCGCTTGGAAGAGGCCTTAAGGATACCAAGATATTCCCCTCGTGGGTTGGCAAGCTTGTTGGTGTGAGACCATGCACTCCTTGTTCTTCACCGAAAAATACCTTACGGGTAACAATGTATACAACCAAATCATCGATATTTGCTTTATCCTAAGATTTGTATGCAACTTGAAATTAACGCAGGTTGAAGTTCACGTAACCTTTTCAATATGTAGTATGTACCAGTATCCTGTGACAACTTGTATTCTTACTGGAGTAACTTACAAAGACTTTACTTCGAAGCACTTCGAAGTATATGTTTCAATTGCGGTCGAAACATTTAATTTATCCTCTACTGTTTGACCAGATGGTGGGTCTACTAAGGTTGCGTGATGTATGCTTTGTTGCTATGGCAGGGGGTACTTACATCACGTTTCCTGGAGCAAGTGAAGTTCAACAGTAAAACTGTGTGCTGTGTTGCGTTTGCAATTGTACTGTGTTTGCAACTAACAGTAAAGCATCTTGCGAAGCCGACAACAAATTGAAAGATCGCTTTCCTTACATCGGATTGGTGGACCTTGAACGAATCAAAACGAGTCGTCTTGTTTTGGCGACATTGGATTCGCTGAATGAAAATTCGAATAGCCAATCAAAAGCCCAGAATACCTCACAACCATTGGTTGATGTTTTGCCCATCTTACTGTAGCTGCCCAATTGACCACCACACAGCCCTTATAGATAACAAACATTACAGCATATATGGTCGCTTGCACGGTGTAAAAGAACTTTAAATCAACAAGAAGGTGGCTTTTGAGATTGCTTTCAGCACGCCCGCCTCATTACTGTGGAGAGTTGTCGCACGGTTCGAAACCCGAGTGACACAAGTGACGAAAGGGTTGGTCTTGCCAGTGGTGGCCAGTACAATCCGGATAAATCGAAACGTCGTCAAGGTGATATGCTTGTAACATTCACCAAAAGCCCAATGTTTGGCCAATTACTTCCAGCAATTCACAAAATTCCATCGAATTTGCAACATGCCAGTCACTCAAAACGAAATCCGGATAAATTGACCTCCACTGATGGGATATTTGTTCGGGGCATGTCGTGGGACAATTCGCCTTCCACGCCAACATGACGCAACGCTGCCGCTACGTTGTCGGTCTGGCGGCGCTGGTCCATCGAACCTATAGCATCGACAATGACTACGACAACTTCCAGACGAAGTCTCACATCGGTGTGTGGGTCGACGTGGACACGCCCATGTCTGCTCGACAAGTGCGCACGTCCCGCGGTGAAACGTGGGACTTGGTCATGAGCGACGAGTTTCAACTTGACGGCCGGTCGTTTCGACCAGGCGACGATCACCTGTGGACAGCGCTCGACATCCCCGACGGTGTGAACGCCGCGTTGGAAATTTACAATTCGTCCAACGTATACACCAAGAACGGCAAACTCATCAACAAAGCCGAAGAAGGGCCGACGGTGGTCACGTACTTCAACCAGTGGCTCGAAGAGCCTGGCTTTGAAACGCGCACGATGGTGAGCAAGTTGTATATCTTGTACAACTACAATGCCAGCCCATCTCACTCGTCTTGAAATTCTAGCACTACAAGGCAGGGATGATGCAGTCATGGAACAAGTTCTGCATGCAAGGCGGGTTCATCGAGGTCTCGGCCAAGCTGCCTGGGGCCGTCAATAACATCCCAGACGCCGAACACAAGAGCGTGACCATGAACCCAAACGCCGTCGGCGAATACACGGACCCAGCCACCAAGGTCAAGCGCGTGGTCACCCCGCAGGATCGCATTATCGACGGCGGGTACTACCCGACCTGGCCGGGTATTTGGCTTCTGGGGAACTTGGGGCGCGCGCTCTTTGCTGCCTCCACCACGCGCATGTGGCCGTGGTCGTACGATGCGTGCGACCCCGACCTGCTCGACCTGGCGCCCCACCAAGTGATTTCTGCGTGCAACGCCACCCCTGGCTTTGGCTTGAACCCAAACCAAGGCCGCGGCGCCCCCGAGATCGATATCCTCGAAGGTGGCGGGGCGGCCATCTCGTCGTCGATTCAACTCGCCCCGGGCATGCCAGACAACTACCGCCGCATACCAGTTGGACTGCCCGACGAAGAACCATGGGGACTCAACAAGTATTGCGTGTACGGCAAAGGTTGCAAAACCCCTGGGGCCAACATCGCAGACATCCCAACCTCTGCGTTTGCATCGCGGGGGCACAAGAGCTGGTACCAAGGGCTTAAGTATGCCGCCAACAACAGATGCCGCCCGTTGGATGAAGAAAAGCAAAACTACGACCAGGTATGATGATGGTATCGAAACGTACGATGTATCGTCTTGTGTGGTGGCTAATGACATTTGGTATTATGGGGGGGTGGGCTAGGTGTACAACTTTGTCAAGATTGGCAACCTCTACAAGAACGTGTTTGACAAGGAACAAATGAGTGCCTCTCGGGACGCGCATGCTGACTTGGGGCTAATCGACGGCAAAGGGCCAGGCCACTGGGGCATCAACAGCAACGGCACTTGCTTCCCCGTCTCGAACGGGTACATTGGCGCGTATTTATGTGACCCCGATGCGAAGAACCCGAAATGCGAAGCCCCCCGTCGAGATGGCGTGGCCGATACCAACCAAATGCCCAAGTTTGAGTACCAGATGGACGCGATTTCGGCGAATTGGGACATTGGCCACGAAGCATACACGACATTTTACAAGTATCAAGTGGAATGGTATGACGTGATCATGTGTTTTGATGACGTGATCAAGGGTCACGTCATGCATGTAGGGTTGTGGGCAACAAGACCACAAACGACGGGTACATTCGGTGGAGTCTGGACGGGTCACCTCTGTTTGAAATCCCCGCGACGGTGCTGACGTCGCCGCCGCAGCGCCCCGAGGGCTCGACTGCATCGAAAAACCCCGTCAAGGTCATGATCGAAGAGCCCATGTACATCATCTTCAACGTGGCGCTGGCCAAAGCGTGGGGTACGTCGTCGTCGTCCATACAAGTCTTCATAGTATGACGTGGCATGACCAGGGACGACCCCGCCCAATATTGACGTTGGGCCGTGCCGCGGCAACGCCACGCATCCCCCCCACAACTCGTGGGACTACAACAAGTCCAACAACATTTGCGACTCGTTCCCCATGTATATGGAGATTGACTACATCCGAGTGTACCAGGACACGCGGTCGATGCATGTTGGATGCGATCCGCCATCGCATCCGACCAAGGAATGGATCGACGGCCACATTGAATGGTACACAAATGCCAACAACCCCATGATCCGAGTAGCCGGCCGGGCGTCGTGCCACAGCGACGACGACTGTACTACCGACAACATCGTCGTCCCGCCCACAGGACGGTGCCACAACCGCCGCTGCGAATGCGTCCAGGGATTTGGCGGGCCAAGATGCACAAAGTTTATCAACATCGACACCGAGGCTTCGTACGGACCGTCGTCCGTGTACCCAATCTTGCTCTTAGTCCTGAGTGGAGCTGCCGTCACGTACTCGCAAATTCGCCGGCGGCGATGGCTGCACCGAGTGACGACTATCGCCGAGGCCAATGCTGGTGGCGCGACGGCATTGTCGCCTCCTCCAACAACGTCCAAGCCCCGACGAAGTGGCGGCGACGGCGACGAAGATGATGACGATGTGATGGCGTCCCCTGTCGTAGCCGGAATTCGTAGATACTATGGCCCCGCGCACCAGTCTGCCACTGGAGGTCAAGCATCGACAATGGCCTAATTAATAGCAAGCTCGAAAGGGTAACGCTAGTGGTAGTTGTAGGTATAAATACAGTAAGTGCATAGTTGACGTAGGAAGCCAGGTTATCAGCTGAAGGATGCTCATTATTTTCGAGCTAGCAAGCGATGGATTATTTCCGAGCGCGGCCTCAGATGGAGCAACGTTACCGGTAGGGAGACTTTCCGAGCGTACTTAGTAGGGAATACCAAATCAGTTTGAAGAATTTTCGAGCATTACTATAATCCGTATGTTTCTAACTTTTCTACCAAGCGGACACCCGTAGCCCTGTACTAGTACCTCGGAACCCCGATACCCATAGCCCTGTAACCCATTAATCCTAAATCTCGATGGATACATTTAATGCTCATTCTCCTGGGTTATGCACATCGCCGGTGTCTAGCTATCGCTAACCCCGCCAATGAGCCTAACCCCTACTACCGTAGTAACGTTAGTGCCGTGTGCGAGAGGTTACTGCATAAGGTATATTCACCATGATATGTCGAATTTTTCTCGAAATTTATCGCAAGGAAAACACATTGTTTATGTTCTTATGAAGAAAGTACGCTCGGAAAGTGCCTAAGTATCGCAAGGAAAATGTCAAGAGGACGAGGAAAGATTAGATTAGCACTTCACAGGTGGCGAGAGCACGAGGAACACTTGCGTGGTCAAGGCAAAACTAGGTACTACTAGTACAGCTGTATAAGTGACTTAGGAAACTGGCTTAAACTATCCGGATATTTACTGGGTAGATATCCGGATAATATCCGGATTTCTGAACCCGGCGAAGAAGGCCAAAGCAGACAGGCCGAAGTGTCCCTTTTGACAGCCACACCACTCGGCAAAGACTGCGCGGGGCCTTCGACACGAAGGTTCTCACATGGAAGAGGAGTGCCAAATGCAAAAAAGGGACTTGGCAAATAAAAAGCAGAGACCAAAAGTGCCAAAAGGTAACTAATACACAAGCCACCCTGAGAACACTGGCGGAGAAGGTAGTGTAGGGCAAACAAGAAGTTGTTGAGAACGCACATATTAAGTGCAAGGGTACACATAAAGCGAGGCAAAAGCCCAAGAATGCATACAGTATATGCAAGGGTAAATTCCACAAAGTGCATAAGGCAACGAAAGCAAAAGCATTGTGGCTCAAAGAGCAGGTAAAGACCATAAAGGTGCTTACAGAGCAGGGTAAATACCCGTGAATAGCAAGTAGGAGGTGGTGGCGTGGGGTCACCTTGAAGAAACTCACTCAAACCATGACGCCACTCGTACGGCCCATCCTTGAGCGACGCCGTTGGTCAGACGAGACCGCCCACTTCAAGCGGCACGAGCAGACATAGAAGTGAGCAAGCTCGAACAAGATCGAGGGGCAAAAATGAAGGCATGAATAAATGTGGTTGCTAATATTGCCGAGGCATATACTGTATATAAATGCAACGTGTAGAAAACGAGGTTCAGATACTGTAGAAGCTATGAGGCATAATATCCGGTAGGGTTCATAAGGCAGAAGTGACAAAGGTAGAGGAAATAAGTTGGTGCTATAAGGCAGGAGTTCCAAAGCGTTGTAGAACCTGCGAAACGCAATTTCCGGGTGGGCCTTTGTAAAAAGGTCCGCAAGTTGTTCTTTGATGGAACAATAATGGAAAATAAACTCCTTGTTTTCAACGAGATCCCGAATAGATATGAAACGCACATCAATGTTCCTGAAGCGCCCATGATGCTCAGCATTTTGGGCGATGCTAATGGCGGATTCGTTGTCCTCGTGAACTGAAATTGGTTGATCCCTAGTGTGGTTGATCACTAGTGTGATGTAGTTCGGCAGCGAGTTGCCAAAAGTATAAACATCCTTGAATGCAAAGGGCAAGAGCCACAAACTCGACCTCGGTGGTGGACAGAGTCACAGTGCTTCTTGGACAACCAAGAGATGACGTTGTTAAAGAACAGGATCAGAAATCCACCGACACAGCGTCGAGTGTCGGGACACATAGCGTAGTTGGCGTCCGCTGACAGAAGTGGCTTGGAGACATAGTCTCGTCCACCGAGCATAAGTGCATGAAGTGAGGTGCCTCGGAGGTAGCGTAGAACGCGCTGGGCAGCATGCCAATGGGTAAGGCCCGGGTTGTGCAGAAACTGCGAAAGTTGTTGAAGGGCATAAGTCAAGTCAGGGCGAGAGCCCATGGCTAAGTACATAATACTGCCGACGATTGACCGATACGGCTTTGTTTGCATAAAAGCAATGTCCTCAGGTGAACTAGCACACTGAGCCTTGGATAGGGGGTAGTGCACTCAAAAGGAGTGGCGACGGGCTTTGACGGAGACATGTCGAAGCGATAAAGTATGTAGAACAGTAACGAGATTGGTGGATGAACAGAGTTCGATCGGAATGATTAATATCTCGAACTGGACTCAAGTCCTTCATGTTAAAGCGCTTCTAGAGCGACTCTTTGAGATCTGAGGCAAGAGCCTTGTTCGGAGTGATGATCAAAATATCGTCGACGCAGATACTGACAATGGTAAAACCATCATCGCTGGCTTTAAGAAAGACGCAGCGGTCTTTGTGTAGGCGGGCAAAGGCCAGGGAAACCATAAAGGTGACGAAAGTCCAATACCAGAAGTGTGGAGCTTGTTTGAGGCCATAAAGACTCTTTTGGAGGAGACAGACATAGTCACGTCGAGACATGGGGTCGATGAGGGAGCCAGGAGGCTGTTCCATGAGAATAAAGCAGTCAATTTTGTCATTGAGAAAGACGGTTTTGACGTCCATTTGCCCGCATTCCAAGTAATGGATGGCCACTAAGGCAAAGAGGAAGCGAAGAACTTCGAGTTGTACAACAGGAGCAAAAATGTCCGTGTAGTCGATGCCTTTTTGTTCCATGAACCCTTTGACGACAAGTCGGGCCTTGTATGTGCCATCGGCTTTGAGTCGAAAGACACAGCGACACGGTAGAACCGTTTCGTCATGACGAGGTTTGACCAGCACATAAGTAAAGACTCGTACTCGGATTTGGCAGCTACAAGCCATTGGTCATGGTCAGGGCGCGACATGGCATCACGCCAGTCTTTGGGATCGATATTGTCGGTGCGGTCGGCGAGTAGAGCATAGATAAACAATGGTCCCATAGGGGCTGAGGGTAGAATAGAGTTCACTGGTTGTGAAGAAGGCGACGGCAAAGCTGTAAGTGCATAATGCGGTTCGTTGCTGTAGGCGGCGAGGGACTCCAGAGGAGTTGTGTCCATGAGAAGACTAGTTCATGAATGACTAATAAAGTCGAGGGACGTGGGTGGTATTGATGGGCGGGTCGAAGAGACCAGTGATGAAAGGTGGGCCGAAAAGGCAGATGGAATACGACCATAAAGTCAGCGTAGATGAATGACAGTTGGGTCATAGACCGGGCTTGTCAACGGAAAGGTAGAGAACACGTCGAAAAGAACGTCAGGTAGAGCCACAGTGAGTGCCATGATGGGTCGAGACGACGTGGGTTGTGCTGAGAGGGAGGGTAGTGATGGAGCCAGGGGCTTGTCGTAAATGAAGGCACTTGGCCGGTTCTCAATAAGTGAGTGTAGTGAGGGCAATGGGGCATTGGGTTCCAAGGATGGAACGAAAGTAGGATCTGAAGCAAGCCGTCTGCGATACGCAGCGGCTGCTTCAACAGAGTTACCGCGGGAAATTCGGACTCCCAGAAGGTAACGTCACGAGAGTAGATGAGTGCATGCGAATGCAAGTTCAAAAGGGTATATAACTCTTGCGGTTGTGTGGGAGACCCACGAACATTGTCTTGACGGCTCGCGGATCGAGCTTGGAAATTTGCGCGGCACGTTGAACGTGCACAAACGCTGCGCAACCACAAAGGTTTTGATGTGACCCAACGAGCGGTGACGGTTGAATACAACGTGGTAAGGTGAGGCAGCACCCTTGTTCGAGGACGATGGAGAGATATTAATAAGCCATGAGGCATAATGGAGAGCAAGATCCCATAGGAACTTGGGCAGAGCCCCTTCGATGAGCATAGCTCGCATCTTCTGAACAACTATGCCGATTTGGCATTCAGCGACGTTGTTTTGCTGAGGCAAGTAGGCGTTGGAAAACGCCACCCGTGTGTTGTCTTTGGCCGGATGAGGCGGCCGAGCATCTCGAATTCTTTGGCGTTGTCACTTTGGAAAGTGCCAATGTCCGTGTGGTGCATCCTTACGAAATAATTCATACGTCTCACAGATATCTTTGCGATAACGCATTGGATAGGCCCACATAAAGCGGGAGTAATCGTCAATAAAGACTACGAAGTAGGCAGAGCCACCCGCCGACAGAACGTTCCCGACTGTCAAAGACAGCGCACATGGAACGTAGCGCGAGAAATAATCTCGGTTGGGGGTGCACGAGGTGGATGCCCCGGAATCAACGATCCAATGTTCACGCAGAGCGGGGAAGTTGGTAGGGCCATAGGTCACACCGCCTTCGGTAGAGGAGGGTTACCGGCATCATGCTCGCAGAAGCGGTGTAGGGCAAAAAGCCATTGCCCTTGATGACTTGGAAGGGTGGATGGAGACGGATACCGTCCACACATCGGGGTAGGAATTGCAGAACAACTTTGATCGGCGTTGTCGACGCCGCGGTGAGAACATCACTGCGAGTGACCGAGAAAGCACTGGGGGAGAACAGTGAAAGTGTTCTCCCCCAGTGCTTTCTCGGTCACTCGCAGTCTACTTTGGTTTGGTTGGCTGGGATGTGAAATAAAGGTCACGGTGGGTAGAGTGGTAGGCGATCGGTGACGAGAACCTCGTTGGATGGGCCTTCACAGTGAAGTCGAATCTCATGCATCAGCGGGGCACCCGTAGTTGGCTGGCAACGAGTCTGACTCGACATTAACTGGCACATGTGGCAGAGCCAAAGGAGGCTTAGGAGAGATGAACGACACTTAGTGAAGGGTGCGCCGGCGATGCAAACACATCAAAGAGTGGGGCAGAGCCCTTGTAAAATCTTTGGGTAGTACGGAAGGTATGCGGCTTTTCGAGGACACGGTTGAAGGAGGATGTTATGATGGTGTAGTTGGCAGCAGCCGGACGACGACTGTATCCAAGGTCACTGTTGACGACATCATAAGCAACACTACCAGCTTACGGTCATCATGACCTGAGCCACGTCATCTCGACCAGGACAATCACGGCTGCGGTCGCGGCCACCAGAGCCACCACAGCATCGGTCATCACGACCATAGCCACCATGGTCACTGCCATCGCAACCACAACGGTCACGATCATAACGTCCTGGGCCACTATGCCCACTGAAACCACCCTGGCCACTAGGCCCTCTGCGATCATCGCGGTCGTCACGTCGGCGGCGGATTGGGCGCAACGAAGCGTCGATGTCGCGTTTGCGCTTCTTGGCGGAGGCGGGGCCGTGTTTGACAAAGACTGTGCGGTCAAAGCCAGCACGCACGGTGTTGCGGGCATAGTCCGAGTTGAGGGTCGTGCACGCAGGCAACGTATGATTAGCAACGCCACCGTAGAAGCAGCATATGCCAGGGTTGTGGACATAGTCCGGGTGGACATAAGTCGGAATGGTAAATGCATTCAGCACATGGAACGAACTATCAGGCTGGCTGAATGCCTGGGGCGGCGGTGTGGGGTCGCAACGGCATGCGTAATGGCCGCGTACGGAGTGCGAGCTGGGGTAGTGACGGCAGAGCCGAGGTGACCCAGAGCAGAAGCACGTTGGGCACGATTGTCGAGGACAGTGCGGAGGGCAGACCAAACATCGTCAACAACGATAGGCGCACCGGCAGCTCGGGCAGTCGAAACATAGTTCTTGATGACTTCCCAGAGGTCCTTGTCCGCAATAAATGCGACGGACATGGCACACAGAGTGTGATAGGTCCAAATGTAGTGGCCGTAGTCGACGAGATCGAAGATGCATCTAAAGGATTGAAGGTGGGCGGCGTCATAGACGAAGGATAACGCTTTACGAGGTCGTTGAGTTCCTCGGCGAGGGTGTCGAAACTACTGTCGTCGGTAAGCTTGAGATTTCGTAGGTGACTAGCAAGATCACGGTGGGGTTGTTGTTCATGGCATTCGACTCGAAACGAAATGTGAGCAGCTCAAAGAGCACGTAGGGACACGTAGTAGTGTGGTAGAGATACCGGAGGTTGGTTGAGATACCGGACACCAAAAAGGTGTGCGCAAAAGAGCGCTGAGCGGAAAGAGCCTTGGGCGACTCGCGGTTCATCGCTTTGGCCAAGATGGCTGACGTGCGCATCTTGATGTCTGCCATACGCGCCGCACGATCAGTCTCCGAGGAGGGGTCTATATAGTAGAAATCGGGGCTGTCAACCTCGTCAACTTCGAGATACTCCTTGCTGATCTTGAGCGCCTCACGTCGGATCTCAAAGGGAACGTGGTTCGGCTTGGTGAAATACCACATGATATCGCGGATGGTAGCTTGGGGCAAGAAGTCCGTCTTCCAGGTGGCGTAGGCCAGAGGCCGCGACTCATCGAGCGGGGTACCCACGAAGGACGGCGCCGATGTAGAATTGAGGCTCATAACCTGTCAAGAGGACGAGGAAAGAGTAGCACTTGTGGAAGGGGGCGAGAGCACGAGGAACACTTGCCTGGTTGGGGGCAAAACTAAAAGTGACTTAACAAACTGGTTTTAACTCTCCGGATACTACCCGGATGTGTTAACCCAGCGAAGAAGGCCAAAGCAGACAAAGTGACAGAAACACTGTTTATGTTCCTATGAAGAAAGCACGCTCGGAAAGTGCCTAGTGAGAAATAGCCCAACTTTACTCGAAATTGCTCCATTCTGAGGCCTCGCTCGGAAATAATCCATTGCTTGCTCAAAATTAATCTGTTCGCGGTTTCTTCACATGTGCATCTTTGCGGCATTTACAGAGGAATGAACGCCCTGTTTGAATGAAAGGATGGTGTTGGAATCTAAAGTTATGTAGTAGCAGCATACACATTGTACGCCCTCGAATACTGTAGCATGGCGGCTAAGTATATGCAGCGGCTACACTTGGGAGGCATGTATATTGCAGCGGCTGCAAAACGAACCTCATCACGCACAAAAACCCCGTCGTATAACGTGTACGAATATTGCAAGAATCACGTCGTCTATCGTGTCAAATCACGGATTTACGCTGTTTGCACAATATCTTGGATAGATTCACTATGAGTACGGAAAATGGTACAATAAAATAGGGAAATTCAAACTTTTGGGGCTTTTAGTCAATAGGGATAAGCATGATTGGGGATGAAGGTTGACCAGGCAGCCACCATGACGACCGCACACACAGCGAGTTCTTCCATTTATCACCACTACCAGTGTAAATTAAAGCTTGTGCCTCCGATTTGACTCCAACTTCATCAAGCTGGTGGTGATACCGGTAGAATTGTAGGACAAACTCAACCTTCAATGTGAATGAAAGCACCGAAAGGCTGTGCTGACATCTTGTTTTTATGGTGTACTTGTAGTCATTATACCAATAGCTTCAACATATTATTCCTACGATACCCTGATTTGGAAAGGTCGCACAAACATGGCAGCCAACCTTGCCAACTTCCAACGAGGCAGCAACGTCCAAGACATGCTATTTGTGTTCCTGCGTGATACTTTAGCGCGCATAGCTTGGCATGGACATTGCTGTCTCTTGGCTGTGTCGAAGGAATGAATATATGCTAGGGTCTCTGGCGATTCGCCAGCGTGCTCGAAGAGGCAGATCACTTACAGAGATCTGTGAGTATTCCAAGCCGTTAACGCTAGTGATGGTTCGTTGTGGCAGTTGTTTATGTGTGTTATGTGCTCATTGTGAGTAGCGAGTACATGAAATAAGCAGAATCACAGCATATAAAAAGGTGGTTCAACAACTAGTGTCAACAAAACTCGTTTGAAAGCAGCGGATTCATTGCAGCGATGGGATCAATAACGAAATATATTCATCGAGCTACCACTGACAGGAATTATAGTGCTATTAGTTGCCTGCTGCTACCAGTTTGATGACGACCGAAACAAGGGCAATATTTTGCGTGTAATGTGTGATCCGATGTACGCAGAGTAATTAATTTATCTAATAGAATGGATTGGCCCTTTAGGAGTGCCCCATCCCGAATAAACTAACATGAGCTATGTAACGCATGTCGGGAACCTTCTATCTACCGAAGAAACTCACATCAGCTACGTAGTGCGCGTCGGATACCTTCTTCCTACAAGTAGGCTTACTGGTAGTCGGTGTTGACGCTACATGACGTGAAGTTTCGTAGCCAAGCTACCTCGCCTTTGAGGTCCACCATGCATAGCTACCGTAATTTTCAAGCTGTCCCGCTACTACCGACTCAAACCACTATGCACTCCACCAAGTATACTACCGCTAGTTAGATTTTCGTCCGCGCGTTGTTCCATGTGTTATCTACGCAAGATGTGTGTATTGGCAACCTCTCCATCAAAGTATGCACAATTGTTCCTACGTGGCAATTTTAATCAATAATGTTGGAATGCTGTCAGCAACATTTCTATCAGGTAAACTAAGCTTAATGCAACATTTCTACCAGGTAAACTAGTGCGCGACACATAATTATAACGCTATAGGCGTAATTCTTCTTGACAATCATCGCCGCACCTACCCGTACCGTGGGAAGTATTTGTAGCCCCCGAGTACCTCTTTCGCAACTACCAGTGCAACGTAGTATACCAGAATTGCGAAACGTTTAGCAAGCGCAACTTTGCAAGTGCAACTTTAGGATAACGTTAACTGACACAAGGGCAAACTAAACAGGCAAATGGGCTCGACTTATAGTACTGTAGCTGCAATCGAGTGTCTTCCCCTAGCTCAGCTTTCAATGCTCGTCTAACTACTCCATAGTCGAATGTGGCTACGACCATACCAGTATATTCTACAGGTAGTGACTCCTGCTCTATCAAGGGTTCACACTAGCATATATGTGAGCTTACTGTATTTCCACAGCACATTTTTATACTAGTATTTGTATGCATGCCTGCATATATATTTTAGGGTAGGGTATAATATGTCAGCAGTATTGTATTAAATTTCATCAGGTAATGTAATTCTGCAGTTCTTTGGATCCAAGGCACAATGTGACGGTTAGCCATTAGTTGGATTGTTTTTGCCATACGTCCTAACGGATGGTTCTTAGTTTTAAACGAAGCTCAGTTTTGAATTGGCTGACAAGTGGCAATGAGTTCGCCGTTATCTTCCGCAAAGGAGGGGGCGCCCCAAGCTGAGCACTACGCGAGTCCTACGCCCTGGCTCCACCGGGACACCAATGCGGTTATAAACAGCTCCATACGGGGATCAAGGCCAGGGCAATGGGGAAAACGTGTGCTTGTGTCTCACAAGTCCAAAGAAAAGTTATTTTTGGACGTGGCGACCCAGGCTAAAATTCTTTTTCAGTGTTTTGCCAGCAAATTCATGTCGTACCAAAAAATGTCGAATTTTGTTTTTACAATTGACAATGATTTTTATCCTCGTTCAGGCAGTGGGGTTGGCATTTTTTTTGGACTTGGACATTTTTTCGACAACAAGATTACTAATGTTACGACCATCTTTTTGGTAATACAACGGAAAACCAGCAATTCACAGAAATTATTTTATAGGGTCACTGGTTTACCTCAAACATTGCTGAACACAAGTCTAACGTATGGACGACCAATTCAGTAGCCTCGGAACTCATGGCCATTCCATTAAGCAGAGGCGCCATTCCCAACTTCGCCGCAATGCTGGCCCACTTCAAAGCCAGCGGCGACAGCACGATGCCACCGTGTTTGTTCTTCCGCTTGGCCTTGAGGGCTTTCTTGCGTTGGACTGCCTCAAGGCACTCCTTTTTTGTGGCGTCTGTTGGAAATGACCGAGGGCAAACCGCACCTACATGGGAGGTCGAGATCCGTCTGGTTTCGACGCGTGGCTGACATCGACGACTGGTTAGTATAAAGGTTAATACCAGTCAGTTTGCATTGTGAGTCTAACCACCGTTGTTGTTGCGGTGCTGGTCGACGGAGCGTCGACAGTGCGGGGTCGGATTCTTTAGAGCACGTAGATCTGAAGCAATGAGTGATACGGAAGTGGAGCCGTCAAGCCGCAAGTCTCGATCGCCGGAGCGCGACGACGACACAGTGCGTATGGCGCCACGAGGGCGTGAAGGTCGCGGACGTTTCAGTGGGCCTTTCGGCTCTCCTCGAAGAAACCAACCCCAACCCGTTGATCGGATGGGGTTTGGTGTCCAAGGTGGAGTGGGGATGACGTCAAGTTGGACGCCATCGGCTGTGCCAACGCGAGCTGCGGCGGAAGTGCCGCTGCCTGACGCATCATCTGCTGGTGCGAATGCACCTGGTGACGTGGACATGGGCGAAGACGAGCCTGTGAAAGTGCTGAACGCACCGGCTTTACCGTTGCCGCCCTCTTTCAAGGGATCAACGAAAGCGGAGCATCGTGCGTTTATGCGAGAATAACAGCCATACACGTCGGAAATCATGGGATTGCAATCAACGGGACAACGTCCGTTTTTGATGCCAGTCGGCGGGTGTATGGAACTGTTTTCAAAGCGACGCATCGCTATGTTTGACTTTGGGAAGTCACATGGCGATGTGACAGAAGACGAGTGGGTGGTCTGGTTCATGGAGGCCCACGATGAAGAACCCGTTGAGTTGGACGCGCTGAAGAAGCGCCATCAGGTGGCCGTACAGTTCGACACCAAGATCCTCGACGCCGACAGTCGAGTGAGTCGAATGCTCGACAACTTGATGAAAACCCTCGATGCGGACGGCCAAGAGTGGGTGCTCCATCAGGAGAGGAAGTTGGTGGGTGGGAATCATCACCAAAGCGATCAAGCCAGCACCGCTCCAGCTGGCCGTGACGAAGCAGCTGCAACTGCAGCGGAACAAAGTGCTAGAGCAGACGTGTTTCGCTACGTCAAGTGACTGCGGCAATTCGCCATTGGGTACCTACCATCTGTATGGCGGCATGGACGAAGAAAGACCTTCGAAGGCGCCGGCAGAGGTGCCGCGAAAGCAAAACTCGCGGCCTCGTCCACGTTTCGGCCCGGTCCGCGAAGAAAAGCGGCCCAGTGGCGCATCTATCGCGCCTCCTACTTGGCGTGCCGATAAAAGAGACGAGCCGCCAGAGCGGCCGAAGCCCAAGTGCCTGAAGTGTCAGTCGACGGCACATCGAGTGCAGGAACACCCTGGCATTACAGATGCCGAGGTAAAGAAGCTGATGGACGACTTCCATCAGGCGCGCCGTCGGTCGGTGAACTTCGTGTCGAGCACGAAGCCTGCGAACAGCATGGAGTGCCAAGCGTCGATCGAGGACGTTCTCACAATTCCTAAATTGTTGCTGGACTCTGGGCCCGATGAGACGTTGGTGTCGGAAGGCCTCCTCGTGGCGCTGGAGCGCCTTGGAGCAAGTCTCAACGTTGAGTCATAGCCAAGACTCATGTTGAAGGCGTATGGAGAGACAACCAAGCCTCTCTATGTGACACGGCAAGTGCAGTTCAAGACGGTGACGTTGGAGACGTCAATCGGCCCCCTGGTCTTGCGTGGACTTCGAGCGTGGGTCGAAGAAAAGAAGATGGAGATCGACGTTCTCATTGGACGTCCCGTTATGGAACGACTGGGGTTTCAGTCGACGGCATGCTTGTCGACGCGTTGAAGCAGCGTCGAGTCTGGGATATGGCCGAAGCGGGAGATGTTGACCAGACGTCGGCAAATGTGAAGCTGCTGCAAGAGGCGTTCCAGGAAGACCCTGAAGACGCATTGTACGCCGAGGACGTGGCGTGTTCCACTCCAGCAATGGAGAAGCCCGCCGACTAAGACGGCGAGATAAAGCGCATACTCGACGGCAAGATTGCCGAGGCCATCCAGCTTGGCCTCTCCCCTGCGCATGAAGGCGAACTCCGGCGTATTTTGGATGATCACGCCGATGTCTTTCGCCTAGAGTTTGGGCAAGACTTGCCGGTGGATGTCGAACCGTTGAAAGTAGGGCTGAAGGAGGGATGGTGCCAGTGAAGTGTGCGTTGCGCCGGTACCCGCCCGCCCACATGGAGTATTTGAAACAGCATGTGGAAGAGCTCGAGGCCGCAGGCCTCGTCTACCGCAACAACCGTGCGAAATGGGCGGCAGCGCCGTGGATTGTGACCAAGAAAATCAACGCATGGATGATCCCCATGCCGTGGCTGATGCCGAACCTGGACGCTGCGATGGCGACGTTGGTCGGCATAAACGTGTTTTTCACGTTGGCCTGGCTGAAGGGGAATTGGCAGTTACCACTGCACCCATCCTGCCAGATGTGGTACTCGTTCATTACACCAAACGGTGTAATCCTCATGGGACAGACGGACGCCGTGGCCTATTGCCAGTCCGTGGTGAACCAAATGTTCGGCGAACTGTTGTACGCCGGGGTGCTGGGTTGGTTGGACGATCTCCTGGGGTACGCAGACAGCTCGGACAAGCTGCTGTTGGACAAGGTGCTGTCCATCTGCGTAAAGTTCAGCCTCAAGCTGCACCCGAAGAAGTACAATTTCTTCTTGAAGAAAGCCACGTGGTGCGGGAAAGTGATTTCCGCCGAAGGGATCTCCCATTCCCCTGATCGAGTTCAGGGCCTGTGTGCACTGGAGACGCCAACGTCTGGTGGAGTTCACATTCCTGCCACATAAATTTTGCTGAAAAGCACAGAACAGACGCCACCTGTCAACTCATGTGTTGAGGTAGAATCTCGAGTGATGCGGCTGCGCATCAAGGTACTTAAAAAGGGAATTGTATTACATCTGAATCGTTGATCGTTGGTACGTACACTACGTAGTCAGGGGTAATCAATAATCGGATGGTGGCAAGGGATACAGTAGAATAAAAGTGCATACGATAGGAATGAACGTACATGTCCATAACTTAGGCTGTAGAGTGAATCTGAGGCAGTGCAATGACTCGTTTAACTGGTCAGAGGTAGTTCTTTAATGTAGTATATGTGTGAAGTGCATGTGTGCCCAACAAGTGCTCGAAAAGGATGGCTCCAAGGGTACACTACGTAGTCAGGGGTAATCAATAATCGGATGGTGGCAAGGGATACAGTAGAATAAAAGTGCATACGATAGGAATGAACGTACATGTCCATAACTTAGGCTGTAGAGTGAATCTGAGGCAGTGCAATGGCTCATTTAACTGGCCAGAGGTAGTTCTTTAATGTAGTATATGTGTGAAGTGCATGTGTGCCCAACAAGTGCTCGAAAAGGATGGCTCCAAGGGGCCATAACATCCATGTCCATAACTCAGGTTGTAGAGTGATTCTGTGGCAGCACAATGGCTCGTTCAACTGTCCTGATCTAGTTATGTAATGTAATATATGTGTGAAGTGTGTGCCCCGGAAGTGCTTGGGTCCAAGGTGCCACAACAATTATGTCCATAACTCAGGCTGTAGAGTGAATATGTGGCAGCGTAATGGCTCGTTCAACAAACCTGATCTAACGTTAGTTTTGTAGTGTAGTATGTGTGTAAAGTATATGTATGCCCCGGAAGTGCTCGAAATGGATGGGTCCAAGGGGCCACAACAATTAAGTCCATAACTCAGGCTGCAGAATGAATCTGTGGCAGCATAATGGCTCGTTGCGCTGGCCAGAGGCAGTGCTGTAGTGTAGTATGTGAGCGGAGGAAGTCTCTGCAGAAGTAATCGAGCTACCTATCTTGAACTGGACGCATTCATGGCCATCGCCAAACACAATATTGTGAGTAGCCACATCATCCTCCATGTCGACAGAATGCCCAAGTTGAAGTCCCTGACCAGCGAAATGAAGCTTCGTCCGGACGAATGGCACCGTGTGTTGGCCCTGGTACAGAGCGCGTTGAACCACCAGCCGGCGGACCGTCTCGGCGGTGTGGCTCCAGTGACGGCGTTTCAAGGCTTGCCGTCTACAATGCCTTTAGCTGGGTTCGTACACCCAAGGACCAAGAACGTACTCACGGTGGACTGGCTCTCGAAGGCGCGTCAAAAGCACATGGATGCGCTGCGACAAGCCATGGAAAATATGCCCCGCGACGTAGCGGCTCGAAGCGAGAAGTTGCGGCAGCAGGCGCGAGGCCGCCGCGAGAAGAAAGCGCACGTGCATTTAGCGAAGTTTGCGCTGGTCGATTTTGTGCTGTTGGGAAAAATCATCAAGTTCCCCAACAAGTTGGCACTCAACTGGAAAGGTCCGTACCGCGTATCGCGGGTCGACTCGGACTATGTGATGGAAGTCCAACAGCTCGTGGAGCCGTTTACGACGTCGGTCCACCATGCCAGCCGGCTGAAGTTTTCCAGCGATGCCGCATTGGACGTCACCGATGCCCTGGTGGACTACGCCGCGTTTGGCGATGAAGGGTTTTTTGTCGAAGAACTTTTGGGCGCCCGCCATAGCGCCGACGGAAAATTCGAAGTGCGCGTCAAGTGGAAGGGCCTGGACGAAGAAGCTTCGCGGGAGCCAGTCCTCCAACTCTATGAAGACATTGCGGTCGTCCTGCGCCGCTGGATCGTGAAAAATGCCAGCGACGGCGTCGTCAAGGAAATACGCGACGACTTAGAGGCGACCCTTGGCCATTCAGTGTAGGGGGAAGTGTTCTGCCGCGTCCGCAGAAGTGCGTCATGTGCCCTTGGAAATGACCGAGGGCAAACCGCACCTACATGGGAGGTCGAGATCCATCTGGTTTCGACGCGTGGCCGACATCGACGACTGGTTAGTATACAAGGTTAATAACAGTCAGTTTGCATTGTGAGTCTAACCACCGCTGTGGTTGCGGTGCTGGTCGACGGAGCGTTCGACAGTGCGGGGTGCGGAACAGCGTCCATCTTGTGCAGCAGAGCCAAGCTAAGAAGTCTCCCCCTACGTCAACTGTCTTGCGGGATGACCCCCCCCGTTTTTGATGACGTTCGTCGGAACGATGAGGCTAGTCCACGCCCTCGACGCAATGCGCAGCGCAACTCTCTTGGATATCGTGTACATGGCACCGGAATCTATACATGTCAACTGATTTAATGACATGATTTGTACCGTCATTGATCATCTCTCGAAAATTGCCTTGCGAATCGCTGTTTTGTATGGCCCAAAGATGGCAACATCCAAAGGTTGAAAAAGATGCGTCGCATTAGAAGGCAATCAAAGCAGGAGTATTTGAAGAGAGTTGCACAACTCAACAATTTCAGTAGAGTAATCAGATGCAAGTCCATCAAAGATCAACAACACTGGACGGGTCACAGTGATAGTGCTGGAAAAATGTTTCAACCACTCGGAAAAAATACCCTCATTCATGAAACCTTTGGATGAAGTAGATACAGTCGCATTTGGAATTGTCCACTCATTGGCCAAAGATTTATCAATAGTTTCACCAGGAAAATGAAAAATGAGGAGGAAAAATTGAACCTGAGGCACTCACACAAGCAAAAATCGACAAATAAAAGTTTAGAGCCATCGTCTTGGCCCATACATTTTGCGATGAAAATGCGATCGGGAGTCAGAGCATGGTCAGCAACGGCGGTCTTCATGGATTCGAACAAACGATTGACTCCGTCCATGTCGACAAAGTTTCGAGCATGTGAGATGACTTGCGCGGAGCGTACGGTCAACTCTGGGTGGCGCTGTCGAAATCGCGTGTACCAACCATCCGTCAGGGACTGTAATGGATCGAACTCGCGTGCCAACTTGTTTGCCTTGACGAGAATGTCATGGCGGTCAGGCGGATGGCCGCCTTGCTCATCGCAACAATCCACTGCACAAAATCGCTTTCACATTCCGCTGGTAGGACTGGCTTGGGGCCACGACGTTCAGGTGCCTTGTTAGAGCCTGCCTTGGTTTGGCGCACAGTCCTCATGAGTGTGTTGTAGGGGATCTTCGTGTACAACGACACATGCTTGCCATTGGCGCCTCCTAGGACCTTCTGCACAACATCAGCCAATTGTTCAGGCGTGTATCGTATTCGCGGTCGACGCATGTCAATGCCGCCAAAACAATGACGAAAGGTCAGTGTGTATTAATTTAAGCAGGTTTTGCCGCCAAGCTTTTGTGGACGTTGATTGGCTTATAGCAGAGCACCAAAAATTGGTCGAGTGACCATAAATTGGTTGCTTACGTTAGCAGTTAAATACAATTGTAGAACAGAGTGTATCGTTAGTGTGTTGGTTTGATTCCAAGTTATTGACGACATATTTCGAGCGTAGCTTTGATCATTTCTTTTTTCCATAATTATACTCCAGTTGTTGGGTGACCCTCCTACAGAAATTTTGATTTGTTTATATAAAACAGGTTGTACCTAAAAATTGAATTCGAAAGGTATTGGCCACTTGGCTATTTAGGGTATTTACGATCGGCCTTTGATCCGGTTAATGGCATGAAAACAAACATTTTTACCTTGATTGGGGACGATAAACATCGTCGAACGTCCTGACAAAACGTGGCGGCTGTGGTCGCTTGGTGGCTATAATAATACTACACCTTTTCCCGATCAAAGTGCCACTTTATTCCAATCAAAGTGGTTTGGATAAAAAATATAAATTTTAACAAGGTTTCCAAAGTGGATAATTTCGGATCAATGTGGTTTTTCTTCCAATCAAAGTGGTCAGATTAAGCGCGAGGAAAGGTGCCAACTTTCAAGGCAAGAAGGTGGTAATTGTGCTCGACAACGCACCTGCACACTCATAAACCGAGCAGCGAGTTCAGCCGCACGAGGACTTGGTACTTCTGCGCCTTGGGCCGTACTCTCCAATGTTGAACCCTATTGAAAGTTGTTTTAGCGTTCTGAAGGCCCACATCAAGAGATTTCTTGCCTCGCGCACGAACCTGCTGTTTGAGAGCAGGGAGTTCAATTCCTTCCTGGAAAGTCGCATGCGATTGCTCGAAGAAGCTGCCCGGGAAAGCCTACCATGTATTACCCAGTCGTTGGTTATTCGGGAGGCTATGCTTTGTCAGCGCAATGTCGAGAAGGCGCTTCGATTCGAGGATATGTCCTATGGAATGTGACTTTGCACCACATTGATTGGAATAAAACCACATTGTAATGGAAATGTGCAGTTTCTTTGTAACCATCCTTTGCGTTTCAAACGTTTTATATTTTTTATCGCCACATTGATTGGAATAAAGTGGCACTTTGATCAGGAAAAGGTATAGTACTAGTAGGTACTAATGTAAGTTCTCCGGAGTACTGTAGGAATGGTGAATGGTTTCCATTTGTTGTAGCGTACCTTTGCAGCAGTTACGATGACCACAAAATCGGAGTAATTGAGAGTGTACATGTGTAAATATTTTAGATGCGTTGAAACATGCTTTGATTATTGCCAAATGCGGTCTTACATTCAGATCGATGACATTCGACAAATCCAATCTTGAGGCCTTTTTTCGAAACTTTGACGTGGAATCGAACAAGAGAAAGTCTGCGAACCTTGAGGCATCGCCACTGAACGAACCATCCATCTTGGTGGGCACCCTCTGGCCCAACTCAAGCCAGTCCTAACTCTTGAACTTGCTGTGGGATGGACCAATTCCCAGTGCTAAAGCGAATGGCGGATGCCATCTATGGCGAAGTCCTCCTCTGTCGCGACGCTGTCATGTTTGACATTGTGGCCGTCAAAAAGATTTACATGCACCGCGCCGCCAGACGCCACTCTGACGTCCACAAACATGCAGTCCATGAAGACGTTCTCTTCGAGTTGGACGTGAACCAACGCGTGCAGCTGGCAGGTGGCCACCCGCACATATGCCGCCTCCGCCACCACTTCACCTACGTCGACACTGCCATGTCCCATCCCATCTTGGCCATGGTATTCGACTACTGTCCGCACGGAGAGCTCCTCACAACGCTATCGGCGTCCAAGCGATTCACAGAGCTGGTCGCGCTGCGGTACGTTGCTCAAATAGCACAAGCGATCGACTTTTTACACTTGCTGCACATTGCACATCGGGACATCTCCCTGGAAAACATCCTTTTGGACGGTGCCCATCGTGCCAAACTGTGTGACTTTGGCTTGGCGTGCGACGACCGCATGGTCAAGACGGAACCAGTGGGAAAACTCCTGTACATGGCGCCAGAAGTCCTAGCTGGTGAGGAATACGCCCCAGCCCAAGCCGACATGTGGTCCCTTGGAGTTGCCCTGTTTACGATGGTAGTGGGACATTACCCGTTCCACGAAGCGTCGATGCACGATCCATTTTACAGCGTCTTTGCTCGGGTGGGACTGTCAAGTCTGCTGCGAAAGCACGGCGTGGGTCATATTTCCGTCGAGCTGCAGTCGTTGCTGGAAAAGTTGCTCCATGTGAACCCTGACCAGCGCATCCAATGCCAACACCTCTTGGCTCATCCACTCGTGGAGCCATTTGTCGACGACGATGCAGACACGACGTCGTTCTCGACCGTCTCGCTAGAAGACGAACGCAGCAGTCGGGCCATGGATTCCCCCAACAACTCAAACCATCATCCAGATGAAGGGAAACCCAAGACGAGTGCAGAGTTATCCAACAAGCAACCCTGCCACGCATCGAGTGCGATGGCTATCCGGTCTCCAGAATTCGTGGAGCGGTATCCTCATTCGACGGCCTCGAGCCTCCCGATGCGACCACTGCACCCTTTCCGTCCAGCCAGCACTGTCGTCGACAACAACAACATACATCTAAAAGGGTCGTTCAAAGCATTTTGGAAGCAACAGGTCCTGTCGATTCGAAAACGGTGGGGGGGCAAAGTCGCGGTGTAACTGACAGAATGGAGTATAATAATGTAACTGGTGATGTTGTTGCGTAACGGTTACATGTCATGAATACCATCACGACATATAAAACCCACCTCCAACGCATGCAGAAACTCAAAGGTGCGGGTTCGGCCATCTGTGCATCCACTGCATGGAGTAGAGCTTGCGAGCTCGGCGCTAGCGCTTCGTTTGCATCGTCCGTGGTGAGCAGTGGGAACAGCGTCGACTTGTTGCGAAAGGATCGGTTACAGGCCATGGTTGTCGAGGTATGCATCAAAATACCTTGGACACTCACTGGTTTGATCCACCAGTGTGTGAAACCAAAGACGGAAGCAACTCGCGTCAAACCATCATTGCTTACCCTAGGCACATCGCCATGGATTGAGCAGCACGTTCACAAGCTTAAAAGAAGCAGTCGCCGTCAAGGACATCCGTGTTTGCCATGGCGGGGTGACGTGGGAGCTCGAAGGCACGATCAACGAAACGCTGCTAACAGACTTGTTCGAGCTGGACCGGAGGCTGCTGCGGCGACCGAGTGCACTGTGCCTCGTCACACCTGGCAAAGTCATGGTTGTGGCCAAGCTGGACCGGAAAGTGTTGATGTACGTCTGCCCTGGAAAGATCAAAGTCGTACGAGAGATGGACGAGCTGCTGCAAAAGGTGATCGAGGAAACCGGCGACGGACACGACATTACGTACACGTTGAGCGTGCTCTTTGCAAAGCCGGACGTGCCATATCCAGAGGACGACGACGCCCTCGAGTCGCAGCCACTTGCCGACGGGAAGATGCCCCCTGCTTGTTCAAGCCGCAACCCAAAACTAGGAACCGAATACGACAACCAACCCGCGCGAATGGATTCCACTGCACTGAGGACCTCTGTGTCGAGACAACACAACAACCAAATGATCGGCCAATCCGACGACGAACTCAAGAGCATAAGTGCCGACATGTCGACAGGCGATGCCAAGTTGATCCTTCGTCCAGACGGAGAACCGTCGAACGTCCCCGATGGATGCCAGCACGACGACGACGACGACAGCGAGGCCCGTCAGCAAGTGAAGGTCACGCATTTTTTACAACCAACCACCACGAGTACCGTGGTTGAAAAAACTGCAGCAGCACTCAGCCCCCCTCAACGTGACGAATTACCTATCGCGGAAGCCTATCCAGACTTTAAACTGCCATTGACCAGTGTGGAGTGTACTCGGTCGTCTGCGTTTGGAAATCCGGACAAGCCATCGTCGCCCACCATGAAAGATGACAACAATAACACAAGTGGATGTGCCGCCAGTGCCAGGGCTAGTAGCACGTCCGTGGCCATGCAACTCGACAATTCACGTTTGCAAACAACACCCCGCCATTCAGGAGACACTCCCTGCAACAATAACATGTTGCCTTCCCCACGTTTACCCCCGCTTGCCCTACTGGACAATGTCGTCGTCGATCCGTCTCGTCACCACGACCACAACAACACGGACGATTGTTACGCCACGGACAACAATAACCCCTCGACCCAACGAACACCGGAATTGGTGGAAACGGCCACCGCAACTACTTCCCCCGCCCGACCATTTGTCGCTCGTCCTCCCGTTGTGACCATTATAAGTCACTCCAAATCAACAGTACATGAGGCCCCAACGACGTACAAAGCCAAGCTCGGCGAGGTGACCATCTCGTACATTTTGAAATGTGAAGAATAGTTGGTCTTTACTGGTTGACGTAGGCTATCTGGTGGAGACTCGATGATCAGGCGCGACGAGTCGGTTGTCGGGAAGCCCGGCCAACGCTACGATTAAAACGGTCTATGAGTGTGATGGCCAAACAACTACCCCTCGCGATGGTGCCACGGACAACAGCTTCTGGGGACGAGACGACGCCGCTGCCCCTGTCAAACAAGGCTATGTACCATCTAGACTCCCAGAAGGAGCCAGGGTTTGCAATTGGCGCAACCTTGGCGGTGTCCCCAAGTACGGCTCCGGTGGACACAGATGCCGCCAGCAGCAAACAAGAACCCTCTGATAAACCATCATCATTCACTAGGTTGCTGCTCGAAGAAACTCCATCATTGTCCCCCAAATCGAGGCCACAAGCACGACAGCCATCCATTGCACAAGACTCTGTCGCGCCACGACACAGTTCGTACAGTCGAATATACCCACACGATGTAACATTGGACACTGATGTCGTCGCGAGAACTTTAATGCAAGGGAAGGTGTCTCCTTCCCAGATCCCCATGATGCAACCCCCCCTTCCTTCGATGGACGGCGACAGGCAGCGCCCCCTTGTAGCACCTCTCCATGAAAATTTAGCCCAACCAAGCACCAACTATATCGTCACTCCTTGCATGATGGACGACGACGATGATGTGGTGTCCGTGGCAAGTGGGACGTCGAATGGTGATGACGTTGGCGATCCCCTTGACCATCGACATGCCACGTCAAGTGACGTTGTCTGTCCCCTGTCGTCTCCCGCATCAACCGCCACGATGTCCCATCCGTTTGAGAAAATGAACGTGAACAAGTCACGTGACGGTGTTTCGGACTGTCGCCAAGGGTCCCCACCACTCCCTGGCGATAACGTCATACTACTCGACCCACAAGACCTTGTTGACGTGGTGTCCACCCTGACGTGTTCACACGACACGTTCAATGACGTTATCCAATCAACTCTAGAACTATCCGACCCCATCGACTTCGGCATCGCGGGTACACTCGATACGAAGGGCCAATGTTCACCCACGTCACATCATAGCCTCGTCACATTTGATAACGTCAGCGACCACCAAACGCTTTCGGTCCGCAAAGATCCGGCCCCTCTGCGCACCACTAACCTGATCGTGTCACGTACTGGTCGCAATGCCATCGACCTCACAAAGTGTGATGACTTTTTGCTTCCCCACCATATCGTCGACCTGGCACCAGCTGCGCCATGTCGCGAGGTTGCCGTTTGTGTGGACCCGCGCGACAAACCTAGCAAACCGTACACCCCCGATGTATTGTCCGTGGGCACCTTGAACCCGCCCCCTTCTCGTTCAGCAGTGCAAGTCTACCATCCTATGGGGCTTTCCCTTCTACCCGCCCAGCCCAACGCTCAAGCCAAGCCGGAACAATCGCCACCTCGAGGAAATGCATCGAATGACGGGTCGAAACGACACATGTCTGCTAAGTTGACTGTAAACGTGACCCCCGAGTCGCCAACTTTGGCATACATGCCAACGTTTATGCGAGAGAACGCATGGACCGCTTCGACGACTTCGCGGGTCCTCCAGCCTTGTGACGGACCCCCAAACGGTTGTCGGTCGTCATCATCAATGGCTCCTCGGAGAAGCCAGCAGCCATCCGTGGCCAAACCGCCCGCTGCCATGGCCATTTACTTGCGGTCGCAACAACAAGTCATTGACGACGACATTGGACACGAATTTACGAGCGCTTCAACGCCACAACTTAGCCGAGAAACATCGCCTGTTGCAACTGTCCAAACAAAACCAGCATCGCAGGCCAAGTCCTCTATCGAGCTCCACCCAACGCAAGACGAGATAGGGAGCAAGCAGTGGGCTACATCGGTCGTGTCTAAGGCGATGACACTTCAACCACCCTCACCGCAGAGCCCCCCATCGATAATCGTCGGTCGTCATGCCGTCGTCGATTCGCCACCACCGTCGCCCCCACCCAGCCCCCCTCGAAAACAACAATCGATGTTTGTGCATGTGGTGGATTCTCCAAAGGATCGAGCAGCCAAGTTGATGGAACTGCGTGAAAAGAAACTCAAACAGCTGCAAGAACGCAAGGAATGGGGAAAACCCAAAGAAGGGGTTGTACCCGCTATTACTACAACCAACGCAAAACCCATGGTGGGGCAATACTTGAAGCCCACGTCCAATCGCCAGCTCATTCAAAATGCACTGGAGACGAATCTGTTGGCCGGCACAGCCTGTGAAAGCGAACGTGTCCGAGTCGTGCAAGCGTTGGTGGACCACCAAGCAGCAGACAACTTCGTCGTGACGTTCAAAGGAAGCGTCCAAGAGATGAAGATGACGTTCAAAGGACTGTACGCGTTGGAGAAGGACTACGTGCACAAAATCTATGGCCAAGGCCCTGCGCACTTGCAGCCGACCATGGTCAAGCAATTCTTCCGCTACAACTCGGGAAAGAAGGCGTTCTTACCCGTGTCCACACGCTCGTTTACGATCAAGACGGACGGCGCGGCGCTGAGTGATGAGTGCTTCAAGAAGAAGAAGCTCGATCTGTTCTAGACAGTCGAAGTCCGTACCATGCCATGACATTTCACAATTACCAATAAACGCTTGCAATGTATTGCAATGTACTCGTACATTAGGGTACTATGATATACATGTAATGTACTAGTAGTACGGTAATGGCACATGCAATCACCAAGGAAACATGGCCAAAAAGCGCACGTTGAGCGCGGTGGTGCAGGCGTCGGCGTCGGAAGGGCGACAGGAATTGAATGAAGAGACCAAGAGCGACGATGAGCATCATAGAGATGCCGTAGCTCAGGATGATGGCAATGACGAGACGGAAGACTCGGTGTACATCTCGGTGGAGCTCACGGACTTTGCCGACTTTCCCATTCTTGACAAGCACGACGCATTGGAAATTGAAAACTTGGAGAGCGACCGACCCATTCTGCGCATTGGAGAGTATGTACTGTATGGAACGTACGAAGATGCGCTTGGAACGGACGTGTTCTACGACATGCACCCACCTGCCAACGCCGAGGACGCAACAACATCGAGCTCTGCAGCGACATGCTCGTTTGTCGGATCTGCCATGAAGCGCCTCAAGTTTGTCATTGACCCGAATGAAAAGCGGCAATTCCTCCGGAAACCAACTAAAATTTAACCCGATCTTGTTTGCATGAAGTCGTGTGCAGTTTTTGTACTTCTGTAAAGTTGCGGGTATCTTGCCGGCGTCTCCATCTACCGCGTGTGCGACTTTACATCCTAGTTCCCACAGCAACATCGATAATGAGCCGCGTAGCGGCTTCTTCATTCCTTTATTTGCTTGATCATGGTCCAGCTCAAACTCGAACCTGCCAGTGCGCCGCGGCTACTTCAAAGCTGGCCTCCATCGCCGACCAGCAGTCCGCCGTCAAACGAGCTGACAGCGTGCCTCGACGACGACTATGTCTCCGACTCATACAACTTGGACTTTCACTGGCTTGACGGTCCAGATATTCTCTTGGACGCGGACTTGCAGTCATTCTTCTTTGATCACCTCCATGGACCACTGCACTGCGCCCAAGTCCCCCCACTGCCCCCACCATCGCACCATCCTTCCCCCGTGGCCCCACCCTTCTCGAACTCCCGCTCGACTTCAACGCCACATCCACCGGTGCCGCCGAGCCATTCGTCGAGTCGCCCCGCCAAGCCCCGCCGGCCCAAATGCACCGTGGACGGCTGCGACCAGCGCGTACGATCGCGAGGCGTGTGTAAACGGCATGGTGGGGGTCGGCTGTGCCTCATTCCCGATTGCCAGAACTCCGCCGTGGGACTAGAGTACTGCGTGAGCCACGGAGGCGGCAAGGGTTGCCTCCGTGAGGAATGCACTAAGGCGGCGCAGGTGGGCGGGTATTGCAAAGCCCATGGAGGCGGATCTCGCTGCCAAGTCGACGGGTGCAAGAAAAGCAGCCAAACCAACGGCCGATGTCGACTTCACGGTGGCGGCAAGCGGTGCACTGCCCCAGGCTGCACCAAAGGAGCCCAACGACTTGGGCTGTGCGCTGCCCACGGTGGCTACCACATCTGCCAACACGAGTCGGGATGCCCCCGCAAAGACCGCGGCGGGGGATACTGCGAGACGCACCGCCGCGACTTGGAGTGCTCATCCGTCGGCTGCAAGCGGCTACGCAAGGCACATGGACTATGTACTACACACCTTCGCGTTGGTGACCATAACGACTTGATGGCAATCCTCGACGAGTTGCTAGATATGCCAAAGCAACGACTGCGTTGACATCGTTTTTGGTCTTGATGTGATTTATTGCAGGCGTGAAAGCTAATCACAAAGAGTACTCTGTGGGGTGTCAATGCTATATGTGGCGCTGCGCATGCAATTGCTGTTGGCTTTCTAGATAGGTAAACAATGGCTCGAAACGCTGCAACGCTTGAGAAACACCAACAGTGAAGCATTTAAGTTAAAAGTTGCTATATTGTCGATTTGATACAAATTTGGGGAGGGGGTGCAATCGAATCGACCAAACCGATCCACAATCGACCTGAATAGTTAAATTTCATTGAGAAGGTTTTGATTGGCTAATAATTTTGAGCTCTTCTGAAGTAGCCAATCAAATCGATTTAAATTCCAACGAGAAACCACACCACAACACAATGAAATTTCACTCGAAAGCACAATTGTCGCTTCAAAACAATGTAGAACATTGTTCGCACTTCGAGTTGCGGTGCATATTGTATAACGATATACCGTATTCACAACAATGATTCATTTAATTAAGACCTTAACACTCCAAGGTAGCAGCATTTCACCGTGACACGAAAACCGACCGAAAATGACTGAGGTTGCTGCTGGCGCTCGTAATAGTGTGTACCAACTCGCCCATCGAGGACGAGCAACGTAATAACATCCACGGCATGGTTTTTATAGGGCCTTGGTGATTTGGTAGGAACCACTTGGAGCTGGAAACACTTTGCCGTCGCCCACAAGTTTGTTCAAGTGCAGTTGCACGTTTCGTTTAGCGGGGATGGTCAATGCGTAGGGCAACCCAGGGTACAGCTTGGACACGATTTGTGCTGGCGTTGCACCATTCGTGTGCAACGACGTTAGAAACGCGACGATTTCGTCCTCGCGCTTTCGTCGATGGGAAATGTACATGTCAATGGCTTCGATGGCGTTGTGGAGGACAGGGCCGTGCCCGGGATATAGCGTCGCGGGGTCCTGAGATTTCAGCAACTCGAGGGATGCCATGTATTCCGACAGGTTTTGGAACGTGCAGGTGCCTTCGCCGAGGACACAATCGCCTGTGAAGATGGTCACTTGGTTGGTGTCGTCGTTTCGTAGGGTGAAGCACACGTGGTCGTTGGTGTGGCCAGGCGTGCGCAGGACGCCAATGGCGGCGCCTTCCGTTTGGATCGACTCGTTCGAAACACTGAGGGCATGGAGGTCGTGCATGTGGAATTGGTCGTGGACAAACGAGTTTGATACGTGAGCAGAACACTCGCAGGCCGGGGCGGTTGCAGTGGAGGTGTACGTGAGCAGTTTCCACATTTTGGCCTTAGGAAATGCTTTCTGAAGAGCCCAACACCCGCCAACATGATCAAAGTGGCCGTGCGTGAGGAGAATGTCGGAGAACCCGTCAATGTCGAAGCGATGCATCGTCGCGACGAGCAGCTCCATGTACGCCTTCGAACCGTCCCCAGTGTCAATCAAGATGCGCTGCTTCCCAGCCCCAACAATGTACGTGTTGGTCCCTTGGAGCGTCATCCGGCCAGGGTTCAACCCCAGCACACGAATGACATTCGGCGCCAGTTGTGCGACTACATCCAACTTGGACAATGAGCTCGACGTTCCAGAGAGTCGCACCATCCAAGATGTGGCAAGGGCACGCAGACGTACGATGGCATCTACCTTTGACGCAGCCAGGTGGATATGATGGCCGAATACGTATAAGGCGACAGCAATTCCGCCGGTGGCCGCTGCCGCTACGGTCGCCACGGTTGTCAACATAAGTTCTTCCCGTGACACTTGGTATCCGGATATTGAAATCCGGATATTTGACTCGAATCATCCGGATACGAATTGAAATCTAGAAGCTGCGGCTGTGGCCAGCACACCAAAAACAACACAAGATGGCACGCAAGCAACAGCGGGAGCGCAAGAACCAAGCCAAGGACGACGCGGCGCCCTACAAGGGAGGCAACAAGGAAGGAAACAAGGACGGCAACAACGGCGCAAGAGGCGGACGTGGTGGACGTGGTAAAGGCCGCGGTGGCGGCAAAGGTCGCGGCGGCGGCCGTGGCGAGAAGAAGAAGCCCACAACTGCGGACGACTTGGACGCGGACATGGACAAGTACTGGGGGAAGAGCTCGGAGCATGCGCAGAAGAAATTGGACGGGGACATGGACGACTACTGGAAGAAGAAGGACGAAGTGGTCCCTGAAACCACAGACGACGCCGCCCCCACTGTCGTCGACCCCGCAGCTACTGACAACGCAGACACCGACAAGACCGAGTAGGTCCACGTTGGTTGCTGGACGAGTCACTTGGACAACTACCACTTCATGGTCAATCGACCCTCGAGTTTTGGCCCGCCGAGATTACACAAAGAATACATAACCCCCCACCTTTATCGTGTATGTCGCGTTCCTCCCTCCACCTCGTATGGACGCCAAGCGTTGATGCGAACGAGCCTTGCTTGATCAAGCCCCCACTTGTTCTCAAGGGCCAAAGTTGAGCGACGGAGCCACAAAGGAGAGCATCCAGCATGACGACGCGGGTACGTTGTCGAGGACGCGTAGACGGAACGCCTCCGACTCGTAGCCTGTAACTTTGGACGTTGTGCATCAAAGTTGTCGCGGAAGTGTCCGTCAACTTGTTGGTACACGCGATGTTGATTACAACCAATGTACGCATCGTACTTTAGTATATCGACGTTTGATTCGCTAAAAATAATACAAAGTTCGCGAATGTTGGTTGTTTACCTGGGAGACTCGAGGTGAAATCGCGACAGCACACATCGAAATCAATTGGCGCGCGTACTTCACCAGCGCATCGACTAGACAAGGTACATCCATGCGTTGGCTGGCGTAGCTTGTCTTGATGATGCATCATCTCTAGGTCTCTTTCGTTCAAGTATGACAGGAAGCGTAACTCAGCCTCGGGCCACAGACGCATCGGCGGCATCCATCCGCCCGCTTGCACGATTCCTGCACACAGAATGCACCGACGAGCTGTTTTGCCCGCAATACATTCGGTAAGCTTCCTATTATCCACATACACATCATGATATGAGATCTCATGTATCATTGGTGGCCGCAGGAACAACAAAGCCACCGGACACAAGGCAACCAACTCGCACCCGATGCATAGGTTTCCGCGTGCTTGTTGACTGACGGCTGTGTTGATAGAACTTGCGGTGTTTTCCCCATTGCTGCCAAGGACACAAGTCGAGGTCGTACTGCGGGTCGTCGTTGATGGTGGCTTGTGTAGACGCGTCGTGTGAATACGTGTTTGGTCGCTTCGAATTGGAACACCATCCTGCCCAGTCATCCGAGGACACGGGCAGCCCCGCTGCCGTGCTGGATGGCATCGACGTGGGCGACATTCGGCGTCTACGCGACTTTCGCGCAGTGATCAAGACCAAAACCAACCCGTTGGCGTCGTGGATGCAAGGCACCGAGCTGGCCAAGGCGGCCACGGGCGGCCAATCATCCGACGACAAGGTGTTTGAGCTCAACGAGAACCGCATCTCGTGGCATTATGGCTACGTTTCCAACCGATTTTCCACCGACGCGACCCACGTGTTCCAAGTAAACACAGACTGTCCATGTACAATGCGCTTGAAAACCCCATCGTTTGTAGGTGTACTGCTTCAAGCGCTGCTCACTCGAAAACGACGACCTCCAGTGCCTAGCCCGCGTCGCGTCCATGCCTTTTCGTCTCGTGTCAAGCCGACAAATTCGGAAGGAGGCGCAAACGTCGACCCCAGCCATCTTGTCGCTGGTGGACCTGGACAAAATTCCCGACGACCGGTTCTCGTACATGCAACGCGCCACGAATCTGTCGACGTTGCAAACCGTGCTCGCAAAAATTGGCGAATTTGAACGAACCCCACACGGCATCAGCGTCTCCACACTTACCTTTCAGCGCCATCCATCCCAGAACGACTTTGCGCCGTTTCAATCGCTCTTGTCGGATGACTGTGACGTCGACGGGGCTGTGACGGCCGTGTCGGTTCTCGTGAGTTTGGTGGATCGTGTCATGCAGAGCGAATTTGTTGTGAAAATCCAAAGCATTCTCACGGCGCTATCGTCGTGTGTCGCCAACGCTTCCAAGCTCAACCAAGCTTATGGCGGGTTTATTGAAATGCTCGAGTCGCAGGTCCATACCTTCGTGGACAAGTCGCTTCTGGGATTGACGGGTGAGTTGACTCTGACCCCACTGGCACTGGTGGAGCACGTTGTGCAGTTTCTGAAAGCGCGGTTGCCAGCGCCATGCTTTGTCAGCAGCGAAGAAATGGAGAACGGCGCCGCGGTGGCCTTGACTGGTCTCACTGGACTCGCTCTGCCTAATGGACAAACGTTGCATAGCATGCACGAAGAACCACCGTACTTTATCGCGCTGGTGGCGCAATTGCGTCTCAAGTTCCAGCAGTCACTGCTTCAGCGATCCCCCCTTCCAGCGGCCGTGCATCAGGGCGGGAAGTACCAACATGGAAAATGGCGTCGGGTCGACTCGCAACGTCCAGAGATTCCCATGTTTGTGCTTCGGGAATACGCGTTCTTCGTTTCACAGAGGATCGAGATTCTGTCGAGCGACACCGAAATCCAGGTATCGAGTGTCGTCTGCCACTTGCTCACACTTGACAACGGATCCTAGATATATTTGCCGGATAGCTTCATCCCGGTCTGGACAACGTTTGAGTTGTCAAGGAAACCCACGCGCCCGTCCCCGGGTCACATGGGGATATCTTCCCATGTGGGCATGAATGGACGAACCATCACAGCGTACATCGCGTGGCGCGAAGGCAGTCGAGTCTCCGTGCAAAGCTACCTTTGGCCCATGCGACCGTCGCTAACGCGAATTCGGTTCACGCGCCATATTCAGATGGACACTAGTCGGCCAGGCTCGACAGATCGCCTGATGATCGTCAACGAGATGGAACAAGCGAACCACGACCCGATCGTTCCCCCCGTTGACGCCGATATTCATGCCCAACTGAGCTACCCCGCAACGTACTTTCCCATGCGAACATACACCGAGTACTACGAGAAAGACGTGACGAAGAAGAGAAAGTTGGTGCTATAGAACGACGTACCTGCCTCGACTTTTCATATCGTTTGTGATTCGCTGCCGTAAAGAACCTCATCCTTCACCTCTTATCTAGAGATCATGGACGTACAGGGTCTAGAAGGGAACGGTGATGTAGCACGTGCTTCCAGTCGAGGTTGTTTCCGAAGGCATTGTTCCACGACCACGCAAATTCAAAAATGAAAATTGCGCGCGAAAAGCGGTTTCACCACATACTAATATCCAGACAGTCGGAATGTATGCTCTTTGTTATTGTGCTTTCCGGTTAAATTTGCATTAGTTAATTAACAGTGAATAGAAGTAGGAACTATACAGGCGAAAGCAGACCAGCTACACACTAATTAGAGGGTCCATCATGTGAAATCGTGATGCATGGCACGCCGCGCATGTCATGTGCCGGTTACACGATTGTCGTCGGTTTCGTGGTTTCATATGGTCTGGCTTAAAATAGGGATCGACTTGGCCGAGGGAAAGCGAGGAGCGAGTGAGCACCCACGAGCGCGCGCGGCACGACGGCAACACGAGTCATCCCCATCACTACAACACCACTCACTACCTTTGACCCATGCGCAAGTATCGCTTGGTGTCTAAAAAGGGCGAAGGCACGTTCTCGGAGGTGCTCAAGGCCCAAAATGTCAAAGACAACAAGTTCCACGCGATCAAGTGCATGAAAAACCACTTTGAAAGCATCGACCAGGTCAACAACTTGCGCGAGATCCAGGCCCTGCGGCGGTTGTCGCCGCACCCGCACATCATCAAACTCGAAGAGGTCTTGTACGACCAACCGTCCGGTGCGTCGATGAACCAACCATCGCCGATCCATCTTATCACTTGCATTAGGTCGCCTCGCGCTCGTGTTTGAACTCATGGACGCCAACCTATACGAAATGATCCGCGGACGACGGACGTACTTGAACCCAGAGCTGATCCGGTCGCTCATGTACCAGCTGGTCAAATCGCTGGACCACATGCATAACAAAGGCATCTTCCACCGCGACATCAAGCCCGAAAATATCTTGGTGGAGAACCAAGAGTTTCTGAAACTGGCCGACTTTGGCAGCTGCCGCGGCATCTACTCCAAGCAGCCGTACACAGAGTACATCTCGACGAGGTGGTACCGCGCGCCCGAGTGCCTGCTCACGGACGGGTACTACGGCCCCGAGATGGATCTGTGGGGCGTCGGGTGTGTTTTTTTCGAAATCACGAGCTTGTACCCGCTCTTTCCCGGCTCGAACGAGCTCGACCAGATCAACCGCATCCACAAAATCCTAGGCACCCCCGCCCCCGACGTCCTCGATATCTTTCGACGCAAGGGCGCTGCCCACATTGACTTTAACTTTTCTCCCGAAGATGGCACGAGCATTGGTACGTATTGCCATGTGCATGTGTGACGGTGTTTTTACTGCAATATTTGTTTAGCCAAGCTGATTCCGCACGCACCGCCCGAAGCCGTCGACTTGATGTGCAAAATGCTCGTGTACGACCCCAACAAACGAACCAACGCCCGGGAAGCGCTGCGACACGAGTACTTTAAAGACGTACGCGAAATGGACGAAGCCAATGACGTGGCAGGCGGGGGAGACACCACCAGGTAGTATACGCATGAACCAAATAAAGTGGCAAAGGGTCATGTTCTTCGTAGCAAAACTATGGCCACCGCTGCGACGGGGGTGGGCGTCCCGGCCAACGCCGTCAAACATCGCCACAAAAAGGTATATATATGCAAATGGCCCCTATCTCGATCGTGACATGGACAACCTTGGGCGGCCACATGCACTGGAGCCACCAACCACTGCGTTTTCGATTTGTGATACATATACCATGCTGCCTAACACATATCGCTTCGGATATGCACGTCTAGGACGACGACACGAAACGAAACCTGCCCGTGATCGGCAAAGGCAACGGGGTCGATGACGGCGGTTCAAGCGACACATCCGAGTACCACCAGCACGGAGGGGACAATGCCGCGTACGAGGTAACGATTAACGACCCAACAAACTAACTATCCACTACTAGTAGATATTTAGTGTTGTCTTTTGAACCAAAACTTGGAAAAACTAATATTGACGGAAAGTGAGCTTGATTGGCTACTTGATTTGTGTTGTGGACTTTGATTGGTAGTGGATTGTCGTGCTCGATGTGTTCAATTTCGAATCGAATTGACACCAACTACATTACTGATGCAATTCTTCCATCTACTAGATCAACGAGTTGCCCCCGATCAATGCGTCGATTCCATTACTCAAACCCAACAAGCCCCAAGACTCTAAAGCAGCCAAGAAAACCAACCCCTACCGAACCGCCAACAACGGAGGCCAGCCAGCCCCCCATAACCCCGACGTGCTACTCGCAAAAGGGCGAAAACAACCTGCCGACAAGGGGTACAAGCTCACGACCATCTCCAAAGCGCCACTTCCCCTGCAGCAGCAACAACAGCCACAGATATCTTCGACCGTCAAGTACCAAGGAGGTAGCGGTGCTGTTGCCAAGCCCAGCAAGACCATAGGAGGTATATTGCATTACTGTTTTGATTATATCAATGAAATTGACGTTTGCCCTATTAGGTCCCAAGCCTCGCCGTAAATAATAGCCCCATATAGCATAGCGCGCGACAAAGAAAAAGCCATAACTCGACACTTGTATCGAATCGGTGGGTTGAGAGATTGACGATCCATCGACGACTTAACCAGATGACGATGAGTCGTCTGCTTGAACGACTACTTCGACGTTGCCAGTCGATGATGATGGGGGGGTGGAAGGCGGGTCGATAGTGCATACTAGTGCACTTGACGCTGGGACGGTATCGCAGACAAGGCACTGTAAAACGAATCAACTTTGTTAGAAATCTGGCATCCAGCATTGTATATTGTCGTCAATTCGATACTTTGAAACAACGAGCAGTAAGTATTGTCAAGTCGATTCGAAATTGGTGTTCAATCGAATGAGCAGAATCACCAAATCGGCAGAAAATCGATCGACCAATCAAAACCCTGATCACTAACCAAGTAGCCAATCAAATCCACTCTTCGACAATTGAAAGATCAAATTAGTGTGTGACTTTAATTAGTGTGACACCTGACGATTTTTACATACAAAAGTCAGGAATCGATCATCGATAGATATGGCGAATCAGCACAAAAGTCCAAATATTGGGTAAAGGGACAATATGTACCAAACCGGCAGACAATCATCAGTCAACCAATCCAAAACAAACAACACAAATCTACTGGCCAATCAAATCTCTCGTCAACCATTCGACATCGAATTCGTGACTTGAATTAGTGTGAAGGAATACATGCAACAATCTGTACACAAAAAACCCGTCGAAGGATTTGGCGAAGCAGCCCAACCGTCCAAATTTTCGCCGAATGGACAATATATATATATATATATATTTCTAAATAGTATCGATATGACATTCTTACATGATTGCATCCGCGTGGATTGATAAATGTACAGGCAGGACATGGCCATGACACGGTGGGTGCTGGTGGTCCAAACGACTGAGCGGCCGATTGTTCAAACATTCGCGCGAGAAACTACAACAGTCGGACATTGAATTGTACTAGTAATACTAGTAGTAGTTGCTGTACTAGTAATACTCATGAACGTACCAGACTCTCCTGACACCACGGCAACGCCGACGCGGCGGCGAACGGGTCGTGGAGTTGCCATGCTAGGTCCATGTGCAGCACAGTCTGAAGGAATATCCCCGCTGAATCCAGCAGGTACTGGGGTCTAGGGCTGTTGTGATCGCCTTTGACCTTGATCACGTTCTTGTCGCCTGCATACTACGACACCCATATAGTCAGTTGTCCGTGCAAATGTCCACATATATTATATACTAGTATCAAATATAATATATATATATATCCATGTCCAAAACGACAAGCAATACCTTTGCAAACAGGGCTTCCGTGTGGTGGGGTCGGATAAACGTATCGTTGTGGGCCGCTACACGGTATACAGTCAAGACATAGAGGATCCTGTTAGCTTGTCTGAATAGAGTTAAAAATATATCACTATAGACGGGACGACTACAGCTGTATTGCGCGTAAGAGTACTTTTAGTAGTAGTACAAGTAGTACTTGCCAACAAACAAAGCAGGAATAAACGATTGGTGGACATGGTCGATAGGACTGAGCTCTTTCAGGTCAAAGTGGGCTCGTTTGAGAACAGACGACCGAATCCACCGCATGACGATCTTGACGGCGAGCGTCGGAATCGTGTACCCTTCCTGCCTTCCATGCTCCACGACCTCGTGCACCTACACGTAGTAACAAAAGGTGTTCATTTTAATTCACACAAGATGGGTCAAACGAGACACGTTATGTTAGTACCAATTGGTCGAGGTTAGCAAATGCCGAGTCCACAACCAGGCCGGCGATCGACGGGTCGCGGTCGGCGTGGAGCAGCGCCGTGACAGCCCCCATGCTGCGCCCCCATAGTCCGATGGTGGACACCGACTCGATGCTGCGAAGATGCTCCACCACAGCGTGCACGTCGTCTACAGGGATATGGGATGCTGGTGCTGTGGACATGGAATTTCATCACATGGGTACCTCGTTCAAAGTAGCCCAGCGTAATGTAATCGCCGTCAGACAACCCGCAACCAATGCAGTCCAAGGCCACAACCGTCGCTCCTGTGGACAAGACACAGCGCAAGATCGAATGTGCTTCGAGGCGACATGACGAGTTGCCGTGGAGGTAGATGAGGCAGGGCAGGGCCGCGGCGGGGCGGTCTGCGGCGATGGGATGCCAGTGGGAGCATTGCAGTTTGAGTGGCATCCCGCGGCGCTGGACAGACACATGGAAGTCGGTGCGCTCGAAGCGACGACCGCAGAAGGCAAACGTAGTCGGCCCCAGCTCATCAACTTGGTACTTGGCCCGAGGTGGTCGAATGATGAGGTTCACCATTTGGTCGTATCCGTGTCGCGCCATGTTCCAGTAGCTGAGTTGTCGATTTGCATCCTCGACGGCTGCTTGTCCGCGTTCAATGCCGCCAGCGACGACGGAGTCGGTTGATGTACTTTGTCGGCGGTTGGAGCGGGATGGCGGATGTGACGCCGTGCGGGAGGCGGCTGACGTGCTCGCAGATGAAGCTGGCAACACGAGGTGTCCTTCAGAGGCAGAGCGCGCTGTCGATTCTGCCGACGTTGTGGACGTCGACGGCCGCCTCGACGATGCCTTGGCCTTGGCGTTCGAGTTTCCCATCGGAATGGGAGTGGCATACTGGTCGCTGATTGGCTGAAGGATCCTAGAACACACAGCGTTTCGAACAATCGATTTGCCATCGACTAATATTGTCCCTTTACCCAAAATTTGGACTTTTGTGCTGAATCGCCAAATCTATCGATCGATTCATTGTTACTGAATTTTGTATGGAAAAAGGTGATTGGTATCACACTAATACCAGTCATACACTAATTCAATGTTGATAATGGTTTCCTGCAATCTGATTGGCTAAATCCTTCTGCCGATTCTTCACAGGCAGTCCTTTTGGTTGTGTCGATTCAGTTTAGAGTACTGAGTAAACACAACAATATCGAGAGTAGTAATAACTAACGCTTTGATCGTCTCAGAAGCATCTTGCAGTGCACCTACTTGGACATGTGGGTGGCAGCAAACTTCTATTACAGTGTATGAATGTTTGCGTTTGTCTGTGCAGCAAGGAACGGCAGCGAAATCGCGCCCCTGCAGTCTGCTCAATGTGAAACACGGCTCCAGTGTCATGGCGGCACTCCTGATCCGTGCAACTGCATGCAATATGACATGCATTCTAGTACTGTATCCGTCAGTAGCCCCTTCATAAAGCCACAGCGGTGCCGCCTGTGAAAACTCCGGATAAATACCACCAATATTTCGGATAATTAACCGGGATGGACAATTCGTTTACGCGGGCCAGTGCTTTGCCATGTTGCTGGCGGTCTTACGTCGAGTCGGCAGTCGATGCAACGCACCTGTCCGCCGACTGTCATCCAAGACAGACAAGGCACAAGTTGATGAAAAGAAACCCGTGAGCTTCTTCCTCGCCAAAGAAGACACGCTGACGACGCGCATTATGGGGTCCGACTGGGCCGACCGACGAGGCCAACCCATCTCGTTCAGCATGAAGCTGTACTGGTCAATCTTTGGGCTATTCATCGTCAATGGCATGTATGCACAATACACTGGCAATGACGGTATACTTGACATCCCAGCGAGTCGTCCGTCTGAGATGATGTCGCCGTGTAGAGTTTGCGTTGTACCACCAAGTCAGGCAGTCGGTCAAAGATGCTCTCTTTGGCAAAGCACAGACGAACGAGCACGTGTTTGTGTCTCAAGTCGAAAGTGACAACAGCAATGACACCGCAACTGTCGCCTCCGATGAGGCCGCCATTGCTGCTCCTGTGGTGGAACCCGCCGCCGCTGCCCCCTTGCAAGTCGACGTCCCTACCACCGTGGGACCGATGGCAGCCCAAAAGTCTGCGGCGCCTCTCTTTGGCATGCTCAGCCGGACGGGACGACCCGTTCTGACGAAGGAGCAACTCACGCTCGAACTCAAAGCATTGCGCGACCAAGAGGCGAAGTGCCGACAAGAGTTGAAGGGAGGCAGTTTGCGCAACGTGGATGTAGTAGTCTCGGAGATTCACCAGATCGAACGCTCGAAGGCAGAGCTAAAGCATCGCATCAAAGCCCTTGCATAATTCCAACAAAACCAACATGTCACTCACTGTACAGTAAGCTTACTACTGATGAGAACTTTTTGAAATCGATCGGTTTTGTGCTTTGAAAACTGTTGTTAACGTAGATGATCAATTTATGGTGCACTTGAAAGAGACCTTGTCGTAGAATGCAGCTTACTCGTCTCTCAGGACCGGGATTTGAATTCTGAAAAGTGCTGCATGAAGCCGAAAGGTGATTGCCTACGATTTCATACTTACAGTTAACCAATGAAAACACTCCTGTACAATGATTGATCACAAATCCATGTTCTGTGCATGATGAAAACACTATTGACGATCGTCCTTGGCAATGCAAGCTGCATGATACGAGTTACAATTATGCGACGATGGAATACCGTAGTCATGTATTACGGTAGTGTTTTCGACATCACTGTTGACTGTAAGTATCCGTGCCGTGACCACGACCTTACCTGCGTATACCGTAAGGCATCGCCTATCGTCGGACGACTCCAACGTGAATGGAGTAAATGCAACGCCATACTAGTAGTACATACGTCAAGGTCCTCAAAAGGTAAACAATCCAACCACGTGATATTAACGATACTCCTAGGGTAGAATATATCCATTTGCGTGCACTTGAATTGTTGTAGAACAGAGGAAAACGTGGAGAAATGAAGACAGGCCACTGTCGACAACTTGACCCGTAATAGTTCGATACTTGCTTCGAAACAGAGATATCCTACAGGTCTGGTGTGTTTATTGCCCATACAAGAATGTCCAAAATGTCTTGATTCGCAAACACGTCCAGCTCGACTGTCAACACAACAGATCACTTGAACTCTTCCAAAACGGTCGCTCCTTCCTACTACGGTACTAGTACAACGCAGAACAGCTTGCGTACTCCTAACAAATGTAAATACGCAATTAACGCCATCTATGACATTGCCACCAGGACGCCTCACCTTCACCTTTGATATTTGACCTGTACGATAGAGAATTGGTCAATTGGAGCCCCGCAATTTGTGATTTTCTTGATATTATATTATATATAGAATTAAAATAAGTAAATGTGATAGGATTGGCTAAAATCGAACTAACGTTGTCAATGACGAAGAGATTGAACAAATGATCAAAGTCTGCGTCATTGAAGAATAAACCGATACAAAAACAATATGGCAACGCTATTCCACATTTACAACCTATATGACAATATCCTACACAACTGACAGTGAATATCTGCTGCGACTCTACACCAAATACCTACTCGGAGTAGCGCGTAGTGATAACTCACAATCACTTTTTTTAAGAAACCCATGGACTCCTTTGCTATCGTGTCGCGTCTCCAACAAGTCGGCGACGAAGTTCACGCATTAGACCTCTTGTTGGATGAGATGAGCCAAGTCTACCACGCTCACTCCTAACATGTCGAGGAGGCCGATGACTCCCCCACTGGTCTCAGTGAGATTCGAACCCGGGGAATAGCCATTGCAGAATGCACGTTTTGTGTCTTGAGGTACAGGTTTCTTTAGAACCGAACAAGAATGGAATTTCGCGGTGGTGTCATCACCAGGGAGAACGTTCGTCCCTATACTGTAGCTACATCAACTGATGCAAATACTAGCCCCAAAAGTACATCTTTCGGTGGGCCCTTGATGGTTCAAATGTTCCGTA